TTTAGGTTGATTGCAACACAAGCCAATGTGGAGTTTTACTAGCCAAGTGGTTTTGATTACCATATTTAACTAACAACACTACTAAACAAAGGCATCTTTAAAATTGGTCAATCTGATTAGAGGCCCCAGAGACACATCCCATTAATAAAAATATTAGGGCTAAAACAATTATCCAGATTATTGATGATCAATTCAACATTAGAATCGTCAACTAATTTAGAAATCAAATAATCCTAATCAGGAGTACAAAGAAATAGAGTAGCACAGTTTTAAGGTAAGCACATCTTGCCATCTGGTTGTTCAATTGATTATCCTCGGTCACAACCTTAACCAGTATCTAGATTTTTATATGTATATAAAAAAAATAGAGAGACAAAGTAAGTGCAGCAATAAATTTCTTATTTTTTTGGAGCTATACAAATGTGACTGTTAAATAGAACCTGCAGTATCAGAACTAGGGCAACGACTAACGATTGTTATGCAAATCAAATAATCTGTCGATTATTTTTTCAATTAATAGATTAATAATCAGATAGCTAAAGGTTCCTTACAGATGTTTATGAAATTAAACCAGGTGAAAGTAAAAATTTTCAAAATTAAAAACGTTCAGATTTTTTTTTTTTTTTTTTACAATTTTGATGTAATTGCTGCTCTAAGTTGGTTCCTCTGACAGCTAAAAGCATCTTTTAGAGTCTCTAAACTCCAGTTACTGATTAATCGATAGCTAAATTAGGCTACGTTCACACCGCAGCCTGAAGTGACCCAATTCCGATTTTTTTGCCCATATGTGACCTGTATCTGATCTTTTTATGACAGTCTGAACGACACAGATCGGATTTTTTCAAATGCGACCCAGGCCACTTGGATATGTGGTCCTGAATCCGATACGTATCTGATCTTTTCAAATGCGACCTGTGTCTGTACGGCCAGGTCGCATTCATCCGACCTACACGTCATTGATACTTGACAAATATTACTAAACGTTACTAATCTGCGTCCTACTAAGCGGAGGCGGGAAAAACTAACAACCATGGCGGAAGATAACACAGAGAGCAGTCAATGGAGAGAAAGTGAGGTTGCTGACTTAATTCATATTTAGAAAGCTCGATTCAGACCAAACTCGAAGGGTCTTACCGGAACCGGGGGAGGGTCTTTCTTTTTGATCTTCTTAAAAAGATTTCGTTCGTAATGTGCCTGCTCCTGTTGGAGAAGAACTTAAAGAACGCAATATACGCTGCGGTATTACGAGTCATGTTTACTTCCGCAAACACTGAGGACGCTTGCTACGTGTGACGTCATCGCGTCCTCGAGTGCGCATGCGGGACACTTTGGTTGGACGCATTCAGTTCACACAGTAGATCACATACAAGTCGCATATACTTGGAAGTGTGAACGGACACGCAAAAAAATCAGATTTCACAAAAAAATCGGAATTGAGCATTAAGGCCTGCAGTGTGAACGTAGCCTTAGTTTACGATTATTTCGATAATAAATTAATCACGATTAATCAGATAAACTGTTTCAGCCCTAATCAGAACTATCCAGGTCCAGTTCCTCTAACATTTTTAGGGTAAAAGATTTAAGCATACAGAGGCAGTCATTATTATCAAGGTATAACTATTTAGTTTCAAGGTTTATGGGCGCTAAACAACTTTAAATCTTGTTCATAATACAGTTCTTATTGCTCGGATGTCTAAGATGAAAGAAAAATAGTCGGAAGGAAATTTCTCTGCCCGTCTGAAGTATTGTCCCCCCCCCCTACCCGTTTCTGTACACTGCCAGCTGGCTGAAAGAAAATCACGCAAGTTTACTTTCGCATTAAACAAATATATATTTGTTATGCAGAAAAAGCCACAGAAACAGAAAAAATAAAAAAGGGACAGTGTGGAAACTAAATGAACACCAACCATCACCGTTAAAATACTAATTAGTGAGTCAAGATAATTATCCACCAACTAAAGAATTATTAAGTAGGTCAATAAACCGTATTATGTGCTACTGCAGGACAGACACTCTTACTCTGTTCCCACTAAAAATCAAGACTGATAAGTTGCAGGAAAGCTGGTGGATTGGTGTAACTTGCAGGTTCAGAAAACACAATTTTTACCTGACTGATCAAGGCCAGAAAAGCTAAAAGTTATAATATGTTAGAATATAGAAAAATAATGGATTTTTTTTTTTTTTTATAAATTCCTGATAAATTGCAGGGATGTAAAAATCTAAGCAACCAAATGGCATTAATAACATTATGACTAAACAAAACAATATGGCTAATATTTCAGAGAAGGATTAAGCATATCACTGAGTTAAATATACAGAATACCTAAACATTAGGGATGGGACGGTTTATGAAAACCGTCAGAACCGTTCGGTTCGACTGTCTCAGTTCGGTTCGCGTGTGTTTCGTTCGGTTCATGCGCTGCTCCTTTTTCTCATAGGCAAAGCGTTTACACTCCAGAGCAGATGGTGGCGGTACTGCGACCAAAGCCAACCACCAGTAGTAAACAAGAAGAAGAAAAAGCGAAGCAGCTTAGCCGGGTGTAGCAGGGAAAGAAATCAGTTGTTGTGGAGAATTGTGTCGGAATGGCGAGTGGGAAAGAACAGGAGTTGGAAGACGCGCCAGCAGCACTTTTTAGGTCTGCTGTATGGGACCGCTTTGCATTTAGAGTGACCTACGATGACGGCTGAAAGAAAGTTGTGGATAAAAGTGCAACAGTGTGCGAGCATTGTGCAACACGTTTTGTTTACGCCAACAGCAACATGAGCAACATGACCAACATGTCATGCTAACCCCGAAATTCCACATACTCCGTCAGCAACCCCCGCTTCGCCCCGCTGCGCTCCAGACCGGCTGCTCAAAGCAAAGCATACAGCCCCCACTGTGGCTTCGTCCGCTCCCCTCTGAGTCCCTTGGAGATGGTAGAGGGCATGCGCCAGATGATTAAATTCAAAGCAGCAAAACATACGGAAATGATCCAGGGTTTCCACGGATCATTTAAAATAATTACAATCCATTATTTTTTGGGGGATTTTTTCATTAATTCCATAAATATTTATGGGATTTCGGTGTAACAACATGTATCGAACCGAACCGAAAACCGTGACCAGGAACCGTGAATCGAACCGAACCGTGGATTTTGTGAATCGTTCCACCCCTACTACACATATTAACGAAAAAACAAAACCACAAGCCAATACAGTGAGATGCCTTCTAGAAACAATGCAGCATTCATTCAAGCTGGACTGACAGTGCGAAAAAAACACACAATTTCATTCATAAACATTGGCAGAAAATCAAGAGGTTTCTTTCATACAGGAAGAATGAGGGAAATTAACACATGAATGCTTCATCAGGTATCTAAATTTAACAAAGATTGCATCCAAGTCAACCATCTCATTGGTAAAGCGATTAAAAGTTTGCTACAAAGGCACAGGAAAACCTCTTGACACGAGGTCCTGTTTATTTATACAGGATCTTCCTCCACTTTTAATCTGGAAGCATGATAGGGGAACATTTTGAAAAGGCTTGTCTAAACGTTTTAAAATATGATCCCATTTGGCTAAAAGCGAGCACTTGTTAAAGCTAAGAAATAACAGAAATAGCTTTTCTGTAATTAACAGTTTTTCTAGCTTCTAAAAAAATATATGTAGTATGTAAGTCTACTATAACTTAAAGACTAAATTTAACAAAATAAAGAACCTTAATAACTGCAAGACTTGTTTAAAACTAAACCCCAAATCCTCTACATTGTAAAACTTCATGGATTAAAAATGACATTTGTGTGTAGCACTACAAATATTATTGAGACAACCAGTAAAAACTGAAAATTGAGTTCACACTGCAGTTATAATATATTCTCCATCCTCAATAGTAATTATTAGATGAGGCAACAAACTACCTAAATTAAGAGCGTTAATAATATGCTACTACAAGATTATTACACTGAACAGTCATACTAAATGAACTGCAGACTTCACTGTGTCTTTTTTAAAGGCAGATACATCTACAAAGATTAAATGGTAATGGGGCAGATTGCAAAGGCATCATAAGCGTATAAACAGAAAAACAATACACAAAACAAGCTACAAATGACTTCTTTCTGAGGAGAGAAATCTAACCTTTGACATATTAAAGAGTCACAGGAACTAAGTGCATCTTTGCTCCGAACTCTAACTACAACAGTTGATTTCCTCTTGAATGCTGACAAACTCTGACGTCACTGAATAACAGCAGAGTTAGCTTGAAAATAACTCAAGTTCTCATCTCTCGCCTGGGGAAATCACCACAGCTCAGCCTGCTAAGTCTGTCGGAGCCCCGCTTTAGCTCTCCAGCGCACACTGAGCGTCGCAAGTTTCAACATGCTATCATAAAAGAACAATCCAAGAGCACTCCACTTAGAAATACACTGCAGTCAGATCTGCAGCCTCTTCAGCATCAATTAATAACAAACAGCCATGAATCATTTTGGATTCAGCATTAAAAAAATACTAGTCATCCCGCTAAACATAAAATGCATTCAACAACAAGCAAGAACCCTAGAATTAAAAAACAACCATCCATCCATTTTCCGTCACTCATATCTCTGCTGGGGTTTTGACAGGTGCTGGTCAAAGACAACCAATGGTAGCAAAATAAACATTAATACAGGGTGAACCACAACTACAGAAAACTGTAAAACTTAACTATAAAGAACTGATCAACATTAAGTAAAAGTCAGATCTTTTTTGATGTGACCAAACACACTAACTATGATGGTAACCAACACCCAAGCACCGGAAAAAAATGACTAGAGATCAAGTGGGACAGTTTTACACCTTCAGCCCACAGAACTACGCCTGTGAGTCTTGTGTTAGTAGTAGTGTTCAACCCTCCTCTTTGTGTGCAACATGGCTTCTATAATTTATAAGAATTGGGGAGCTCTCTCTAAAAGACAAGACAAAAAAAAAACACCTATTGAACCTACAAACAACATTTTAATAAAGGAGCCATATAGACATTTAGTTTTTAAAGCAACCTATAATTTTAGAGAGAACTGATGGATGACATACTGTACCTCTAGAGCCAGAGCTGTTTTGTCATAAGCACAAGGCACTCGTTTCTGGATAGCCTTTGCAATGACCGGGCCATTCTGCACTGAGGGTAAGGGGGAGATAACTGCTCCAGGTGTGCCAGGGGGCGTCTGGGGCTGAGCGTAGGCGTGGGCCGGCTCTGGGATCCCATAGCTGTTGGAATTGCGAGATCCATGGATAGGATGGCCAGGATGGGGAGAGGGTCGCACCACTTTCTCTACATAAGGGACAGGGATCATCCCAACGCGTCCCTCTCTGTTTTTGGCACTCCACCACTGTTCCTCTGGCTTCTCAAGGATGATAAGAACCTCCCCCTTCTTGAACGGGAGGTCCTCGGCGTCGCTTCCCGTGAAGTCGTATAATGTTCTCACATACTCCTGGTTCTCTTCGGGACCGACCATTGTCTGGATGGGTCCAGTGATCGTGCTTGGATACCTTGGGAAGACAGAAAAATTGCTTTTATTTAGCCATCAGATCACATAAAAGACATATTAGAGTAGTCTTAAAGCAAAGCAACATGAAGTAAAAAAAAAAAAAAAGAAAACAGACTGAATAAAAGGCTACTTTACACATAACTAGCTTTATATACACACACACAAACAAACAAAACATCCAATGTGCTGTTATCCACTATCAGCTGTGAAAGACCTGCACTACATTTTTTGCCTTATTTACAAGACCAATCAGCTGTTTTGAGGCCTATCCAAAATCCAAAGGTTTTTGTAGCTTCGTGGAGAAAGGATCAACCCAGAACTGTCCTTCTGGAAAAACTTACTGCTCACTGCCAGGAGCCTGGTTACTACCTAGAGAACATACTAAGAAATTATTAATAGTTTGAACACCATACTCTAAATTGGCAAACAAGGGTTTACTCTATAAGTTTTCTAGGTGTATCTATGACTGAACTGCTATTTCTTACCCAGATATTCCTTCATACACGTCATATTGGTAAAAAAATAAAAAATAATTTAATTGGCTGCTAAGTTTATTCCTCCATTGATCCCAAGATAATAGCTTTGCAGCAATAGCTTGCCATTCTTCCCTTGCAAAAACTAGCTGAAGGATTCATGTGTAAATATTTCCAAACCTTTTATGTTTCTCCTCAATGCTAACAAACCATAGCCATTTGAAGTCACCTGCATTTGAATTACTTGTCTCCCCACTGTTTCTTTCACAATTACTTCCATGGAAACAACAAAGCATTAGTTAAATAAACTAAAATACATCAGTACTCAAATCAGTCTTCTGGAAAATGTTTCTATCAAAGGCGTCTTTGTAGAGCAGAAAGCTTCAAATAGTAAAATGAATATGTCAAATGCAAATCGTGCAAAAAAAAAAAATGTCCAAACTGAGTTTAGTGGTTATAAAACTCTGGTTAATAGTAAAGCTGGTGTTGCTTGAATTCCTTACCTGGGGGCAGGCTCTATTAGCGTAGTTGTATCCAGATAGTGGATTTTGTAGAACTCCAGAAGAGCAGGGAGGTTATCAAACTCCTGATCGCCTATCTTAAATTTTTTGCTGGGCAAAGAGTTAATGATATAGTGAGACACTTTGGAGTTTTCAGACACAGACAGGACATAGTCCCCGGGGCAGGTAGAGGAGTCTCGAACCAGAAACATCCCATGCCTCTGTCCCTGTAACCTGTTCTGTGCCTCCTGTCGAGAAACCGGTCCAAAATACCAGGAGGACCGATCACAAGAGTCGAACCGAGCCGTTGACATGTCTGTTTCCCCACCAAAAAATAAATTATATAAATATAAATAAAAGAAAGCTCAGCGTTGATCCAAAGTAGAGGATTCAATAGGTTCAGGGCAGGGCATTCGTCGCCCCTGTACGTTTTCCAGTGATTTCTGTAGAAACGCAGCTTCGTCGACCTACTTAAAACAAAATTGACAATGAGGATTTTTCCTTTTAATAAATAAACGGCCTGTTATTTTTAAGGACGCGCTGGGACTAACTTGGTCCAACTTTGGAGCATATTGGCCCAGTTTTAAGCGTCTGAGAATGGAGAAAAATCATTAACTTACGAAACAAAAAACACCGAGAAGGGCCCGAAAGCAAGAAATGATCGATTAAGCTTCCTCCTTTTCGTTCCGCCTTCCGAGAAAAAAAAAACACAAGGCTTCAAATAATTATCTCCTCCAGTCAGGGTCAGTTAACATAAAAAAGAGGAAAGGGTGGCCTAGTTTCTTTTCATAGAGAACTCCTCATTTCTGTCAACTAAAAACGGCTAAAATTAGCCGCAGGGGAGGGGAAACAAAGATAGTTACTTCAAATCCTCTCGGTTTAACGGTAAGGCAGGTCGGTGAGTTCCCTCTCTCGGGTTCGAGCAGACTTCATAGGCAGCGCAGGAAAAAATGGCGGCCCGCAACACGTCTTCACACAAAAAGTGACTTGAGAACAGCCGTTTATCCGCCGCTGGTGCATCTCAGGGGCTGCATTCCCTTACCGCTGGCGCACTATCCTGACCTGACCGATATTTTGTCATCAACTTGCCGTTATTTTTGATTTTGTCCTCCGCTCGCTCAGGAAACCAGAAGTGCGAGGGTTGGAGAGAAAAATGGCGACAGGAGGGCTGGTCCCGCTTTCTAGCAGGACGTCACTCAACGAGTGAAGGGGGAGATGGGCGGGGGACGAGATGAGGAAAAAGAGGGTGGGCAGCTGGCTGACGGCGCATTGGTGGGGGTGGGGAGGGGGTCCGCTTGGTGTTGCTCATGCTAACACAAATCTGCAACTTTTCTAATTCAGCGGTAATTATCACCACAAACACCGAATGTAAAAAATATAAACCGGTGTCTAATAGTTACGGAAGAGGATTGGGGTGGAGCTAGATGGGGGACCGGGGGGGCCATGCCCCCCCTTAGCCAATCATTGGCCACCTCTACTATTTATTTCTCTCTAATACAGATGGGTGCAACAGTAGGCTACTCTCAAGTGGAATATTCAAAACATTTAAATTTTTCATATATCAAAAATGACATGAAAACAAAAACAATGTGGTTTATTATGCACATCAATATACTAACATTAAAGATGATAAGCAGAGAATTCAAGCAGAAATAGATTTTGTGTTTTATGGCGTGAAGAGAAAATGAAGTATTTCTGCAAGTCATCTAGGAGTCTTCAGTGAAATCATTAGTAAATAACTATTTTAATAAAAACTATTTAAATAATTAATTTATGTAGATAATTCTTGTGAATATCAATTTTATGCAGAATGATTACTGAAAACCCAAAATTCTAACTTGAAAGAATTTTATCCACTATACCTTTTATTTAGAAAGGTATAGCCTTTGCTAACAAATAACCCTATTTGTTAACAAAGGCTGTGGGAAAGTATGATTTTTCTTTATTTAGAAAATATGGATGTTTTGCTCGTTAATTTTCCTGTTGGAACAGCGTTGACCCTGTAAAAGTTAACTGAATTTTACATTTTATTTCACTATAATATGAGAAAAAAGTCAGAATTCTTACTTTAATCTCAGAATTCTGAATTTTTTCTCAGAATTTTGACTTTTTTTTCACAGAAGTCTGACTTTAATCTCAGAATTTTGGATCTTAATGTAGATGGTTACCATGAAGGAAGACATTTGGGAGCACTCAGCTTCACAGACAAAGATGTTATTTATTTGGGAGGGCCAGTGACACATTGGTGGAAAATTACGGAATAAGGCGACTTTTCACGTGATATTATTTAACATAAAGATGCTATTTAATTAATGGAAGGGCAGAAGGTGATTAAAACAAGAGAGCTAGTTTACTCTTTAAAACAGACCTGGCATTGTGAGAAAAAAGTAAGAATTCTGAGAATAAGGTCAGAATTCTGAGATTAAAGCCAGAATTCGGAGAATAAAGTCAGAATTTTGAGTAAAAAGTAAGAATTAATTTTTATTCTTATATTATACTGAAATAAAATAAAAAAATCAAAATTTTTTTCCAGTGGCCTTAATCCTCTTCCGTAAATAGTAGTTCATTTTGTCTCCATTTATTTTTAATTTTAAACCAGTGCTATATACCAATGTGTACATATAAATAAGCAGTAGAACCAAATGCAATAAAAGAATATAAACAATGTTATCTTAGAGATAAAAGAAAGGCCCTGTCTATCTGAGGCTTTAAAGACAATCATATATATGGCCTATTATAAAATCATCTCTCAGATATTTTGTTTAGCTTTAGTTAAGAGCCCATCTGTCATGTTTTGGATTAGCTGAAGTTTACAAAAGGACTGTTTTCATGTTCCTACAATACCTGGAAATAAAGGTATGAATCACTTTTTTAAGTCAGGTTGTGACAGGAGGGATATAATTTTGGAGGTGATCCTAATTTCTACTTTAGAGACGTTGTGTCATTTAAATATTTGCCATGAAGGAAATTATATCTGATAACTAAAACATCACCTGAGGGCACAGATTATTCGCCATGTAAATTTGAAGAGGAATTTGAAATAGAAGGAAAATGAATAGAAAAACCAGCATAAGTGATACATTCTAAGATAATTTTAAGACTTTTAGAGTCAAGAGTGTGACCTAAATTATGAGCCGGCCCAGCAACATGATATAAGAGGTCAAAGGTGTTAGGATCCTCATGCTTGCCCTCCAGAGGGCGCCGAGGATCCTCTTCTGCTCTGTGTTTTTCCCTTAGGGTTGAGTTACTGTGGGGATCTGGAGACTACCCTCTGTCTCCAGCAGAGTGCGCCGTGGGTCTTCTGGAGCTGGAACCTTCCTGCACACATGTTGCTAATCCTCTCATCAGAAGACCTCTCCTATATAAGCTGACTTCAGACCTTGATTCCACGCCACAGTGTTGATCTTAGTTGGTTAGCTTCCTGAGCCTCTGTTACTGAAGAATCTTTGTTATCTCTAGTGTGAGATCAGATTCTAACTCTTCCTTGTCTCTGCCTCACAGGAATCCTGTCTCCTCGTGAAGCTCTGGATGAGCTTAACCTCCTGTCACCTCGTGAAGCTCAGGAAGAGCACCCTCACTGGAAACCAGTCTCAAGCCTGAAGCTCTTGGAAAGCCTAACCTGCTAATCTGCCCTGGTGAACTAACCCGAAGATTCCTACGTGGTAGAAACCTGACGACTTCTCTGAGGAGTTTCCCTGGAGGTTCCCATGTGGATTTTCCCCTGTAGTTCCCTGCGGTGAGCTGGAAGCTCAGCCTGAGAAATCCTTCTTGTTTTCCCCTGTTGTTCCCTGCAGTGAGCTGGAAGCTCAAACTCAGGACTGCCAGGCTAAGCCTAGCTTGATGCTTAGCCTCACTTGAACTCAGCTACAATCCATCTCCCCTTTCCCTGCACAGACCCCAGTGAACCAGCCCCCTGCCTGAACTGTTCCCTTTCCATGACTCATGTTTGTGCCACAATAAACTCTTTTGGACTATTTACCCAGTGTCTCTGTGTGTGTTCTGCATCTTGGGCTAGCTCTTATACCCATCATGACAAAAGGTTTATTGCAAACGAAGAGCTGACAGCAGTTTTTTTTTTTTTTTTTTTTTCTAAAGAGGATAGGACAATAAGATCTTATGTTTTGGCAGCAATTCTTTGTTACATTATGGCAAGATGGGAGGGAAAGTAATCATTCCCACTATGATGAACTGGATGCTGCACAATTTATAGCACTGTTGCTCTCTGAATTGGTATTAGGTGTGTTTTTATGTTTTTCCTTGCAATTGACTGGTGATTTGTCCAGGATTTACATTGCCTCTTGCCCATAGATTGCTGCAGATAGCCACCAGCCCCAATAGCCCTGACAGATGAGAAGCAGAAGGTGGATGGATGATGAACTGCATGGATTATAGAGTTCATGGGATTAATATTTTAAGGTCTAACTTTGTCTATAATGCTAAAAGTGCTGGGATTGGTTTTATTTGTAGTAAATGTGAGTCACATCAGCATAGCCATAAGACCGATATGACATTTTCGTTAAATGAAGCATAGATGGAAGACATTGAGAGAGGATCAAGGACAGCGAAAATTGGTACAACTTTAATCATTGCACATGTAAAAAAGGATTTATTTATATACATTTTCCATCACGCTTATCCCAGATGGGGTCGCAGGGGGCAGGCTCGGACTGGTAATCTGTGGGCCGGCCACAACACTTACTCTCAGCCGAAGCACCTACTGTACCTACCTGTGACAGTAAATAACTCAAGGAGCTCAAGAAGTAATACAACGTTAACTACCTAAATGATGCATGTAGAATATATAGCCCTTCCTTGTCACACACATTGCTGTGACAGTTGACATATGGTGTAATTTTCTATTTGTTCAAACTGTAAAATCCTTGCAACAAACTAAATTATAATTAAACTAAAATGCTTTCTTTAAACCAAACTACGATGTTCCTGTTATATTTGATGAATTTATGTTTGAATATTTTGCAAAAATATGTTGCGGTGCATGATGGGGTTTTGCATATAATTATAATTTAACCAACTTAAACTAACATAGGCTAATTTATAATCAAATATGCAAAGCCGTACTTCAGTATGTGGTATAGAAAAAAAAACACATATACTAACAATGACCCTCCATAATAGTCACTTTATGAAATTGTCCACCCAACAGTTAAAAAAAATACCAAACCAGGTAAATTAGAAGGAAGGAGTTGTTTTTTTTTTCTTCTGTGTCTATCATCTAAAGCATTCTGGTCTTATGTTACAGTTATCAGGAATCATAAGATTTCAAAATTTAATTGGCTCTTAGTCTAAGATGGTCCTTTTATTTTCAAATATACTTTCATACTTTCTTTTTTTATGATTTTAAAATAGTCTTCTATATCAAGAGAATAAAGACAAAACAAAAAAATATAGAAAATATGCTGTGAAATTCTCCTAAAATGCATTCATTTAAATTTTCTGTTTTTCTGAAATTTCTATCCAGTTAAACTTATTCTCCTATACATATTTTATTTTCTAATGTCTATTTTGGATTCTTTCCTCATTTAAGGTCTGTCTTGTACATGGCCAACATTTTCGTTTAAATTTAACTAGTTTATTGGGAAAATAAGTTAAAGAAAATGTGAGTTCCAATGCTTGTGCTGTCTTCAGGTATAATTATCAAAATAATTTATATTTTACTGCATGACTGTGAATAAAAAAGTATTTGCTGTTGTATTAATTCTTTTTATTTTAGCAGTAACATTACAAAAACAGGGACTTTCAGTTTTGCAGACTTGTGATCTGCACACTTGAACCCATGCACTTCCTCCATGTGCACACTTCATAGAGGGGGTTTAGTTTGAGTACTGGGACTGGGCCAAAGAAACCTGAGAAGAGCAGGGAGTGCCAAAGTGCCAAAAAGGGAGATTACTGAGTGTGGGCTAACATAGTGATTTTAAAAGAAATCTAATGTGTGGATGTGGGGGAGATGAGACCTTCTGGCAACCTCTGGCACAATTGCAAAACAAAATTAATTTAACTCTAATTATACAACAAAGCAAAAGAAAACTAAGCAGATCAGAAATTACAAAAACAGAATAACAAAAAAAATAATAATAATTTTCCTCTATGATATGCAGTCTTCCCTAAATAATGCCAGGATTATTCTTTCCTATAACTAAGACGACCCAGAGCTGCATTCACAGCATGATTAGGAAACGTGTGGATAATA